GTGTGACCTCCAGTAGATGGAGCTTCCTTGCTGTTGTTGTTCATGCAGGGCAGGACTGATGTGACCTAGCAAAAGAAACTTTTCCTTTAGCCCCCACTGTTAACTCTCTGCACTGCAGTTGGCCAAAGTGAGCCAACACTCCCACCTTGTGCTGTTGCATGATGGGGCTGTAATGGGGTGGAATCTCCAGGTCAGTCCTGATTGGCTGTTTACTAATGCTGCTGAATCTGGACGCACCGGTGGTTGCCTGGGTTTCAGTGTCAGGAATCTCTAATGCAGGGAAATGACACATTCAGACACAAAAAGGACTAGCAAAGGGTTTCGATACATATGAAATATAGGCAGGGAGGGAACTCACGTTGTTTTACTTTGGCAAAGCTTTTTGGTTTGCGCTTTCGGGTCTGAATCCCATCCTTTCTCATAGCCAAGGGTCGTGGGACCTAGAAGCAAATCAAATAAGGGGTGAGACTCTAACATATACCACTTTCTAGGTTACATAATCAAGGCTCTCATCAATATACAGTATATTTAAAATATACAGGTCAAAAATAGCTTTAAAAATGCATTTTTCTTTGTTAATATATTTTTTATGAAATTGTAGGGTCATTGATTCATATTGGGATTTATATATTTCGGGACTAACCCCATGGAGCTTTGTGTAGAGGCCACAAGCATTGCAGACAGTGTTCCCCTCAGCACTGCGGCGCCACAGTGTGGTCATGCTGGTATGGCAGTTAGTGCAGAAGAGTCCTGTTCTCCGTGAGGCAGCCTAACGAACATTCAGACAATCCAAAGTCCAAGGTCGTCCAAGGTCATGCTATCGTTATATAATGCAAAAAAAGGATCATGCATTCATAAATGTATCCTGCGTGGAAGGGTGCTTTACACTTACCGGGAGCCTCTGAGGCTTGGTGAGGGGCTGGTTGATGCCGTNCGGTGGTTGCCTGGGTTTCAGTGTCAGGAATCTCTAATGCAGGGAAATGACACATTCAGACACAAAAAGGACTAGCAAAGGGTTTCGATACATACGAAATATAGGCAGGGAGGGAACTCACGTTGTTTTACTTTGGCAAAGCTTTTTGGTTTGCGCTTTCGGGTCTGAATCCCATCCTTTCTCATAGCCAAGGGTCGTGGGACCTAGAAGCAAATCAAATAAGGGGTGAGACTCTAACATATACCACTTTCTAGGTTACATAATCAAGGCTCTCATCAATATACAGTATATTTAAAATATACAGGTCAAAAATAGCTTTAAAAATGCATTTTTCTTTGTTAATATATTTTTTATGAAATTGTAGGGTCATTGATTCATATTGGGATTTATATATTTCGGGACTAACCCCATGGAGCTTTGTGTAGAGGCCACAAGCATTGCAGACAGTGTTCCCCTCAGCACTGCGGCGCCACAGTGTGGTCATGCTGGTATGGCAGTTAGTGCAGAAGAGTCCTGTTCTCCGTGAGGCAGCCTAACGAACATTCAGACAATCCAAAGTCCAAGGTCGTCCAAGGTCATGCTATCGTTATATAATGCAAAAAAAGGATCATGCATTCATAAATGTATCCTGCGTGGAAGGGTGCTTTACACTTACCGGGAGCCTCTGAGGCTTGGTGAGGGGCTGGTTGATGCCGTTTATCTTGTGGTAGAGGCCAAAGGCATTGCATAGGTAATGTCCCGTCCCATCGCGACGCCACAGGGGGGTGGACATGGCCCCACAGTTCACACATTCACGCCCATCTGCAAAATCAGCAAACTATTTTGAAAAAACAGTTAAACACTTATTAGCCAATAAAGCAGCTTTTAGTAGGAGTAATAGTAAACGCTGAGTAATAGCAATAACATTGCTAATAAATGTTATTGCATCCAGACACGTAGCTACATAGTAAAATAACGGCTTGGAGCCCCCCTCCAGCGAAATAATTTTTTATTACCAATCAGGCGCATAGTTCACTGGTAAAATTATGAGTTTGAACCCCTCTCAAAATTTACTTCAGCCCGCCGAAGTGGAGAAATACTTGAACGGGAACCCCTCCCATTGGTAAAAAAGTCAGCAAAATCTACTGAGGGTTACTCAGTGGCAAGATCACTTTGCTGACCATGGGGCCTGAACCAGCAGCCTTCCAGTCACAGGCAGAGAGGGAGCCATGCATCACCCTCATGTTTTTAGCATATGAGCAAATGTTTTAAAATTACAAGCATTTTCAGCAGTAATGGGTGCACACAAGCGGAAGTCAGCTGTAATGTGAAACTCCTGTCCCAGAAAATGAAAACTGTCCCACAGCTCAGAAGGTCAAGGAAAAGTTAATGGCACATTTCAGTACTCCGGGATTGCATTGCCTTCAAACGGTGATATAAATCTGGACAGTCCAGAAAAATTCAATTGTTTGTCAGGAACCATCCATATCACTGACTCATAATGTCAGATTGAGTGATGTTATATTAACCCACAATAAATAAGACATTGATGGCCTCGTTCAGCACCACGGAGAGAGAACCTTGCTTCACTTTGACAGGAAACAGTTCACTATAATTATTGTTTTTGTCAGACAGGTACAATTTTATCATTTCCTAGCTGGTAATCCAAAAGTGTAATTTGCATAATCAAATCAAAATATCTTTATATGTTCATAACAATACCAATATCTTGTATAGTTCTTATTGATATAGGAATATGGCACCCCATCCAGGCTGCACCCCAGCCTTGTGTGCTATGCTGTCTGGGATTGGCTCCAGGACCTGTAAGATCACATACTGGTAAATGGATGGGTGCAGATATATATATGGGAATAAAATGGAGTTCGTGCCTGTTTAACTCCATAAATATATAACTTTTATTTAACCTGTTAAAGTTAATGTAATACAATAGATAATGTGTTGATCATCTTATGTTATTACAAAATGATGCAATGAAGTTGCATACCTGCTAATGTATCTAGACTGAACATTACAGATAGATAGATAGATAGATAGACAAGACAGACAGACTGACTTACCGTGTTTCCCCGAAAATAAGATCTACCCTGAAATTAAGCCCTAGTTACTATACCATGGATTGTACGGTAACTAGAATGAGATGCGATTATATATAAACAGGAAATATTATTTATTTATTTAATATTTTAATAAATGTATACACGGTAGATTTTTGTTCATAAATGTACCGTTAGATTGTTTACATTGAAAGATACGGTTAGAAGATGACATGATGTCTGTATTTGAATAAATGTGAATTTTTGTTCATGAATACCAGTAAATGCACTGTAGTTTGTTGTACATGGGACATTAAGACATGCCCTGAAAATAAACCCTAACGCGGGTTTTGGAGCAAAAATTTATATAAGACCCTGTCTTATTTTCGGGGAAACACGGTAGTATAAATTAATATGAAAACATACAAAAATATACTCAGTTTGAGCCAGTAATTAAAATGTCATAGCTTTAATAACTGGATCATAACTTAAAACATACTTTAGGGAGTTTAAATAATAACCTTAACTCTATGTCTAACGAATAATAAATTATCATTATTTATGCAGACCTACAGTATATAATAACAAAAAATATGTAAA